CAGCGAAAATCGCTCGGCTTCGAGGAGTGGACCCCGAATTTAGATCGTAGTAGAGAATACTCAATGGGAAGCTTTCCACAGAGCTGTGAAAACTTGGCGTCTCCTGATAGCGATCATCACAGAGGATACGGTGAGTGTTCCGATGATGTCTCCTGCTGCTGAAGATTGGCAAAGAATGAGCGCTTACGACAGATTGTTCGTGAACGGTCGCCGCACGAGGTGTCGCGTAAGGTCCTGGAGGGGACAGCTGAATATTCTGTTAACGTGATTTTGGAATCTCCCTGCAGAATCGGTCACTTTGAGTGCACAGGACGTTGACGCTCGATTGATGCGCTTGAACGAAGGAGTCGAATGCGCTCTGCGGAGAGCGAAAGTTTGGTCCAAATACGCGAAGGACGTCATGACCTACGTTGAGAAAAGAGCTCAACTGGGTAAGTGCGATCTGAGCATACTTGTATCCTCCTCTCCTGAGCGTTCGTTGAAGTTCTCGATGTCTACCTGAGAGATAGAGTCATTCCGAATTCTCTTAATCGATACATTGCAGAAGCGGAACACGCCCGCAATCTCTTGAAGCTCGCGCAAACGATGCGACCCCTGCTTAAAGAGGAGAGCTTCTTGCCATTTCAATCGATATATTGTACGGCAATCGACCAAGACCTGGATAATGCAAACAACTGTCTGTCCAACTGTACCCTGCTGCACGACCACAAATTCGTCGAACCACTTGCGGCGGGTCGCGCGGAGCACGAGAAAATGCGTAAACAAATCAAGGAAACTTGGCAACGGGAGCTCAAAAAAATGGTACACACTGGTGGCCGTCCGAAAATCATGTCGCATGTGTTCAACGCGATCGACGGCCCACGAGAGTCGTCATGTATCTTCCGTTTCAATTTGACTTTGAGTGTCTCTTCTCTCATTGCAGCAAGAAGCTGATACGAACGTTAGGAAATGTCGTCTTCTGTACGTACAGAAACAGCATGAGTACGAGAAAGCACGAGAGAGAGCGGCGGACGAAGCAGAGCAGAAGCCGGAAAAACGGAAAAAGTGGAAGAAGAAATGTTGGTGAAATCTCGTGAAGCTGAAGCAGCTTATAAAGCGAGTGTCGTCGAAGCAAATGACGCTGTATCGGGTCTCGACAAGACGAAAGCCGAAGTACTGAAACAAGTACGCGAGTTGATCGCTCAATGCGATCAGACAATGAAGGCCGTGACGGTCGCCTACTTCCAACTACAGCACTCGGTCACAGCACCGGCACCGGTGCAATTCCAGACCCTATGTGAAAGTTCGCGCCTCTACGAGCCGGGATCGCAATACACCGAGTTCGTGAAGCGGATTCCGATGCCGACCAACAAGCCAGAGAAAGCGATGTACACATTCGAGCAATACCGTTCAGAAGCGGAAATGGGTAGCGATGAAAATCTCGCACGCGCCGGACTCCAAGAACGACGACTCTCCACGGACGAGAAGATCAAGAGGGCTTTATGGCCCTCGAGCCATTCCGACTCACGACCGTCCCAGGCAACCGTACAAACTCGCGCTTCAAATGCCTATCAATCAATGACTTCGGATTCAGATTCTGTGTCTTCGAATAGAAGTCGAGACGCGAGTCCCACAGCGAGTCCCGCGCAACATAGTACCATTGGTTTAGTCCACGCGTCGTCGGGCGATGAGCTTGAAGTCGAGACGGTTGAAACTGGAATTGGCGTGAATCGTAAGATGTGCCTCTCTCGCGCGGCGGAGACTCATTCCTTCCGGAAGCTGAAGACCCCATCACGCTGCCGCGAATGTGATTCGTATGTCTATTTCCAAGGCATCGAGTGCAGTGAGTGTGGTTTATCCTCTCACAAAAAATGCCTCGAAACTCTGGCCATCCAATGTGGCCATAAAAGACTACCACGCCGAATGACCACTTTTGGAGTCGAGCTCGTGGATCATGCTCAATTCTCATTCAACTCATCTGAAGACAACACAGACGATGTTCCATTCATCGTCAGGAAATGCGTCAAGGAAAACGACAAGCGGGGCTGCAACATCCAAGGGATCTATCGGGTATCGGCAGCGAAATCTAAGGTTGAGAAGTTATGCCAATGTTTCGAAAATGGTGCGGAACTCGTAGATCTCAGTGACTACCATCCGAACGTGATCGCCAACGTGCTCAAGCTCTATCTCAGACAGCTGCCAGAACCGTTGCTCACCTACAACCTGTATCCGGAATTCATCGCGATCGCGAAGGAATTCCCCTCGAACAGGGACGACAGTACGGCGGCGGTTGGCATCTTGAGAAAGACTGCTAAAAATCTGCCACGCATCCATTATTCAACGCTGGCGTCCCTATTGAAGCATCTACGGAGGGTTGCTTCGAACTCTGAAACGAACAATATGCCGGCAAGCAATTTGGGCATTGTCTTCGGCCCGACTCTCCTTCGAATGAGGGAGGGGTCTGCTTCTCTGAGTAATTTAGTCGACACGGTTCACCAAACAAGGTAAATCCATAGGGGGAGAGAGGAGGGGTGGGGGAGATGCAAACCGGTTGCGTATCTGCGGCAGGGGGCAAGCTGGGCTTTCGCCTCGATGTGGGCCTTCCAGGGCCTCTGCTCTTGTACTCCGTCAAGAGACTCCTCGGACGGGCGGATACTGGTCGATGGGCGATCTCTGACATATATGTCCACGTGGAGACGGCTCAAACGGGGAATGGTGCGCGATTTACCCAGGAGGTCAGAATACGTCGAAGATTCTGGGAATTTCCCATCACGAGCAAAATGGATGGAATCGACTTCGAACGCTTCGACTGCTGGCCTATTTGTCTCCTGCCGAGTGCGACTCCGAGAACGCTCCCATCATACGAAGAGAAGGATTTCATATAGCTCTGTCGATCCATCTCCGATCCGAGACGTTCCCATGCTGAGCCTTTTCGTGAATTCCCAGAGTCATCGAGCTTCTCATCACGTACGTTGATGAAATCTTCGACACCGACATGCGGGATAAGAGCGTGTCGGATCTACTGAGCTTCCATAAGTTGAGTGTGGATTCGGCCAACGTTCCCCGATCGAAATCAGGGTCCTTCCGACGCCGGTCCGACCGATCAGGATCTAAGAGATCCAATAGCAAACCTTTCAGCAAGGACGATTCTAAGTGAGTCGAAAAGTCAGGACCCCCGCGAGGGAATTTAGGGAATTGAGGGACTCATAGGTGCTGCGTGAAACGGAAAAGTCGATCTCCGAATGAGTTGAATCACGCTTCGCAGATTACATGCATCGAATAAAGAAAACTCCAAGGAGAGCGGAGGTCTTCTGAGTGCTACCAGCGCGACGAACATCACATCCGGTATGAGCTCTTCCTCTCATGCTCTCAACAGCGCTTCGTACGGCGCGGATAATTTCCCGAAATCATCCGCCGACGCCTCTCAAAGCGCGAAGCCATTGAGCAACGAAATCAAATGCACACTACCACAGAAGCTCATCGAGAAGAGGTGATTATTCCGCATCTTTGCGGTTTTTCTACAAATTCGCTCATGTGATATACGTAGGCGAGGGGTATGAATCATGGAAACAGGCCTTTTACGGGACATAGGTTTTCACATGGCCTTCCATAATTCTCAAAGGATACTCGTCGTAGCCCTCGCCCTGAGATAGTTTCCGGCTCCATTTTGATATTCGCAACTCGGCTATTGATGAGCAGGGCTTGGGCCGGAGGATGCGGCTCCTTAGAGAGAACCGTCATTGCTCTCCGTCTGTCTCCTGAAGCTGTTCAAGTTTTCGCGAGGGGGCCAAGAGGCGGTCGTCGCATGTCCTTCTTCTGTCGCTTAAGAGCCCGAAGACCTTCCGCGGATGATTTTGTAGAACAGTGATGCCAATCGGAGGCCAAGCGCACACTTCGGGGTGCACGGGAACTCTCTGACGTTGCGGTCGCTCCGGTTTCCGAATTCACGAGCATGATCTCGGCAACGGAAAGGTTCCGAGTGGAACGCGCGGAATCGATCCCAACGTCGGCGCCGCCTCGTTGTGAATTGGATCCCGAGATCCAATTTGACCTCAGTCATCGCCTTTGGCTCGAAGATCTTCCATGAGCAACGCCATAGCGGAGCCATTCCCTCGTTCTTAGCGAAGTTTCTGAATGGATTGATGTGTTGTTTGCCGTGGATCAGTACGCTTCTGCACGTCCCGTATTTTGCCGGAAGTCGGAGGTGTACGGATTATTCCGCCAGCTCCAATGAATGCGAGGACGAAAATAGATTGAGAACAACCGTTCTAGAAACAGGTAGCCTTCAAGGAGCTCTAGACGAACGATGGAGCTTCGAAGACGAATGATAAATTGTTGAATGATTGCATTATACTTCGAAGAACAATGTATTCCCTGCCCCATGGAAATATGATGAAAGTATATACGGTAAGCGAGCCGACTCTTAGGGTTGAAATTTAACCCCTGTCTCTTTCGCTCAGTCTTCATGCGACATTGTCGCTCCCGCCTGAAGTTTCCAACGAGAGAGATGACCAACCTGTCATCAGTAGACAGGAGAAGATGTCCCAGGTGGGCCGTAGTTCACTGAACATCAAGGAAACGACCGGAAAAGCAGCATCCATGGCAGAACTCAGAAGACAGTTCTTCGAGAGTCCCGCTGTCAGTCTCGACACGAATACATCGGGCGAAGCGGCGGTGCCCAAAGCTCCATTGGCCCAGGCGGAAGACGGCGGTGGTGTTGGTGGTAGTGTTTCGTCGTTATGCTTGTTGTGTGAGTCTCACTCGGCCGTCGAAATGGCGACGGAACGAAACCACGAGAACTCTACATTCTCCGCAGAAGGTTAGGGGTGAACCTATATTCGCTTGTGATTTCGAGGACGCAGACACCAGCGACAATCTTAATTGATTGCAACAATCCTTCCGTATTACAGGGATGCAGGCACCAGCTCTCGATAGCGAGCACCTTGATTCACCCAGCGGGTACGTCCGCCGCTCTCTGAGTCCTATCATAATCATAGCTGACGACTCGGTATACTGATGCCGATCCTGCTCATTTACAGATTGAGATCACATGCGGCACTTCGTGAAAGCCCCTCGCTCCGCAAGCGCTGGTATAGCGCGGGAGAAGATTGCACCGAGGCAGTAGCGCGGTTGAGAGATAGCGAAAAACAAGACACAGGATCATCTCCCCCCAGGCCGCTCGGGCCATTGGAACAGTCAGGTTCTCTACGGGAGTTCGGATCGGCAGTCGGACCTGACACGGATCTGAGACAACCACGTTATGTGTGAGATAGATGTTGAAAAAGGTATCTTCTTCGCGACCCAGGCCGGCTGCTCCGAAAGGTCCGCGGATTTAGCAATTCAGAGCTTCGACTATTGTTCCCTATCGAGGCGAGCGAGAGATCAATCGACATGTCTGTTGTTCGTTCTGTAGACTATGCAAAAAATGAATTACTCTCATCCTGTCACCCGGCCTCCTCGGATCGAATCGTTCGTTGGATACATACTTCTTTTCGGGGATGGCCGCAGGGATTCAGCGACTCCGCAAGCTCCTCCTTGTAAATGTTTGTCTGAGCTCTGTGTATTGGAGTCTGCGGAACTTCCGGAATCAAGATATGGTCTCCTATGAATTGTATGAACGTTTTTCGGACACCACTCACTCAGCTAGTTAACGAGACACGATTGCACATCCGTGTTGGACCCTTCCCGCCACTCTACATCCAGTCGCTGCCGGAGGGCGCTTGGTGTCGCTTCCACTCTATCGGAAGCCGCCATATTCCGCAGCACCGCGCGGTAGCCAGGGGCGCCAGGTGGCTCGGTAGAACCCCGATCCAAACGGGAGCCTACCTTATCTAGTCAAGTCCATCCCGTCACTCGCCGTGCCTCTCATTCAATGCACTGATAATATCTGTAATCAATCGAGCTCTTCTCCAGCATTAAAGACGGAATAGATTCTAAACGAGCCGAATTATCCGATTCGGTGAACCGAAAGTCATCCGTATTGTTAAGGGCACCCGCATATTGGAGAATATTCACTTTGTTCCTTCCATACCTGGATAGAATTGTTACTGTTTCTCGCAAGCATCAGAGCTGCGTATCAAGACATTCTTCAGAGAGGCGTTCATCAAGACAGGCGTGCTTTCATGACAGCCTCTTAAGATCTGGAGGGAAACACGCTGCTCCAATAAACAAGCTACAAGTGGAGTCCGGATATTGAGCGATAAGCGTACACGGTTCTCTTCCTTTGAAAATTATAGGTGATGAATCGTCGTTTGAGATTCTATAAAACAATGTTGTCTACTTTGGAACCCCCTAGATACTACTATGATATACATATACTTTAAGGTCTTGACAGACTCCTGGTTCCTGATTAGGGACTCCGCGGAGAAGTTCTCTCCTTTTATCTCGTCTCCGGGTTGATATGATCGAGTCTTCATGACCTCGGGTCGATCCGATCGAATTCGAAGCGACTCACATCGAGAGGGCCTATGATCCCGTGGAGAAATTACGGGTTTGATTTAATTGAGAATGATACGACCGAGACTGTACTAATGATTAGGCAAAGATAGACTCCTGTAGGCTCGTCTATAGCGGGGGTTAATCCTGTCATAAGACGCGAAGTTGAGGCTTACACGGCAGCCTAACTTAGGTTTATAGCCGAACAACACCCAGCACGGAGGAACTTGCGGATCTGGTATATTCCGAGGGAGAATCGTATCGGACTGGGAAGAAGCTCGAGGAGAGCAGCGCCGAACTCGTTTCGCAGAAAACTCAGTCAGATGCAGCGAGAGTTCATGCATCCGAATAGGGATCTTCAGATGGAATAGTTCAAGTTCTCGTTGAGCACATATCGTAGAGACGGCTAGACCAGAGAATTCGAGGCGCGATCGTACGACATTTCTCGCAGACGTCAGCTCCTGCCACCTCGAGGCGCAGGAATGCTCCCGAAAATACAGGACTGCTCTCGTTTACAATCGAGGAATGAGGTTTCATCAGCGCGAATAAGCAAGAAGCATTCCTCAGATGTGGAGGAATTCTCGTCGCGTGTTGGTGTGTCGACGACGATAATTTTCTGGTGTCGGCATCGTGGGAGAGGGCGACCTTAATAACAACAACAATGGCGGCGGCAGAAGCAACACGTGTGTTCTAGGCTCTTGGGGGAAAGATCGCGCTTCAGTTCGCGAAGTTTGTGTCGGTTGTTGGCGGACTTTGTGTATTATCTCGGAAAGGTTGGCCTCTGTCATTGCTACCCTATCGGGCCGGAGGTCTCGATCAACATGAAATCCGGGAAGCGCCAAGCGGCCAGGAAGTCGAAGATTGTCACAAGAATCGAACACGACAGAGCTCCAGGCGAAGAGAGCGAATCAGACGATGAGAAGTTCAATGAATCCTTCACTTTCGCCGACAATGCCGCCGAGTACAACTTTGACACTTGGAGAAATCTCACACAGATGGTGAAGAAGAAGAAGAAGAGAGCAACACTAAGTGATGCGATCAAGAGCGTGGTGAGTAAATACGTCGAACCCTTTCTCGATGTCATATGTTCGATGAGATACTCTCTCAGACGTGGGATTGGGACCCGGGCTGCAACAATATTATTCTTAATTCATCCATCGACCGCTTACAAGAGCCTCTCCGGCTGTCAAGAGAGGAAGCTATTCTAGCTTTCGCGGTTCGCAACCAAGTAAGTGCGATAAGAAGCATTACTCTTTCAGATCGTCAAGAGAGCCGAGCAGATGGATACCGACGGATTGACTCCGACTGGGGAAGAGCTCGCTCTGCTCGATGTGGAGATGAGTGAAATACGAGATACTTTGAAGGAACGGCTGAAGATGCAGAAGCGGAAGCGTGCCGACGAAACGGTCCTCGACGATGACGTGCCTGATCAGAGTAGCGACTTTCACGGAAGCTCCGACGTGTCGTTCCAGAACATGGACCTGTCTCGACCTCTGCTGAAGGCTCTGACCGCTATGAAGTTCGTCAATCCAACTCCAATACAAAGGAGTGCGATACCGGTCGCTCTGGGTGGCCGAGACATCTACGCTTGCGCCGCTACTGGTACAGGGAAGACTGCCGCTTTCATGCTGCCAGTCCTGGAGCGGTTGCTGTACAGATCACGAGGTGAAATAGTCACGAGAGTGATCGTCGTTGTTCCTACTCGAGAGTTATCGGTGCAAGTGTATCAAGTATCGATCCAGCTGGCTCAGTTCACAAGCATAAATGTTGCCCTGGCGACAGGAGGTCTGGACCTGAAAGTTCAGGAGAGCCATCTCCGACAGAACCCCGACATAATAATCGCCACGCCTGGGAGGTTGATAGATCACCTTCAGAACACTCCGACTTTCAACTTGCATAATATCGAAGTCATGATCCTGGACGAAGCCGACAAACTCCTCGAGGATCAATTCGCGGAGCAATTGAAAGAAATCATCAAGCAATGTGCGCCAACGAGACAGACGATGCTGTTCTCAGCTACGATGAGCGACCGAGTTCAGGACTTGGCTAAGCTTTCCCTCAAAGACCCCGTTCGACTGTTTCTCAACAATAATACCGATGTTGCTCTGAATCTTCGTCAGGAATTCGTGCGAATTCGATCACAACGTGAAGGCGATCGAGAACCGATTCTGTGCGCGTTAGTGACTCGCTACTTCGGTAATCATAGTATTGTGTTCGTGCAAACGAAGAAACTCGCGCATCGGATCCGAATTCTCTTAGAGCTTCTCGGCGTGCAGGTCGAGGAATTGCACAGCGGTCTGAATCAGACGCAGCGAATCGAAGCACTAAAGCGCTTCACTTTGGAGGAAGTCGACGTGCTGGTGACTACGGATTTGACAGCCCGAGGACTCGACATCAAGGACGTTCGGACGGTCATCAATTACACCTTGCCTCCGACTCTCCAACAGTATGTCCACCGAGTAGGCAGGACAGCTCGAGCCGGGAAGGTCGGCAGATCGGTCTCGCTGGTCGGCGATCAGGAACGCAAAGTGCTCAAGGAAATTATACGCAAAGCGAAGACGCCGGTGAAGCAGAGAATCGTGGATCCCCAGGTAGAATAGCTTCCGAATAATTCTCCTGAGCAGAACGCTGGATAGCCTAGATGCGACTTGAGGCTCAAGCGAAGTCTGTGGGTCCCTTATCAAACTCTCTTTCTCTTCATAGGTGATAAAGAAGTTCGTAGAACGCATCGAATCCGTCGAGGAGTCGATGCGGGCAGTTTTTGAAGAGGAGAAAATCGAAAGAAACATGAAACTCATACAGACTGAGGAAGAGGAAGTGGATAAAATCAAAGACAAACTCCATGACAGAGAAAGGTCAAAGCTTCGCGCTACGAATAACGATCCTGTCAAACGGAGTTGGTTCCAAACACCTAACGAGCGTAAAGAGGAGAAGAAGAAGCTGAAGCTCGATGAGCACACGAAACTCGATGGCAAGAACAGAGTCAAGATCCCGAAAGCCAGATCCACGGCCGAAGACCGGGTCCAGTGGGAACTCCAGAAAGCTGCCGCTTATCAGGTGAGTCTCGAAGGTACTCCGCCGCGCCGTAGTCGGTCATGCGATAGTCTCAGCCTTCTCCGGGCAAGCTGCAGATCCCTGGGATCCCCGGAAGAGTTATGCTCTCGAGTTTTCCTGATCAGCTTTCCCAAGTACCTGATGAGTCATGACGACTATGAGTGTCGGACTCCGGCCGGGAAACGGACGCGATGATTCTGCTGTCGAAGTATTCCGGAGGCCGTAGTCGCGCCTCTCCCTCTGGGCCGCAGTCCATCGGACTATCCGGTTAGGGAGGCTTTCAGGCAGCTTGACCGAACATGACGTGATCTTCCCAATTACCAGGCGCCCACCAGCCTTCTTCACCCCTCAGAGAAACGCGCGCTGACCAGAGAGGGCCTGTTTGACTCTCAGGTAGTCCGGCCCACTAGCTATCGACCATCGACTAGCATGTGACAAAATCATTGAATTTGCTCAGAGAATCGTTTCAGGAGGGAAAGGACTTTCGAAGAGTACCCTCCAAATACTATCGGGGGAATATGGTATGTTCCTTCCCTCTCCATTCGGAGCATTCGACTTCTTGAGAGTCAAAGCTGACGTTTCTGTTCGGAGACATGGGAGGAGCTCAATCTTGATTCTCCTGACCGAGAGGAAGATCCCCGACAGGCAACAGCAATATTCCTCGCCAATCGAGATAGCAGTCGAGTTTCGGGATAACCTTTCCCCGATGGGACCGTCTTTTTATTGAGGTTTCACTGTAGCGTGTCTTAACAAGTTCACGTCGATTTGCAGGCACGTTGCGCTAAACGCTCGCGGAAACCAGCTCGGATCCGCGCCATGGGAGATTCCGATGGCGAGGAAGCTTCGAAGCCGAGGGAAAAATCTGTAGCGAAGAAGAGAGATGTCACAAGATCGCTAACTGCCACCGAGAAGGCTCAAGAGATGCGACGAATCCCTTTCAGAGAGCAAGTGAAACAAGGCCAGGCGAAAAGGAATGGTGGTGGTAAAGGTTTCAAAAGTCAGAAAAAGTTCAAAAGGAGATAAATAAAATGTCTCTCCGCCCACCTGATCGACTTGTCTGAATCCCCCATGGAAGCTCTCACTGGTGTTCTAACTTGAAGCCCCACTTGAAAAATCGGCCCAAGTAAAATTTTTGAAAAATTGAGATAATTGCTCCGGGAGACTCGGGCTTCGAAGCTGAGTCACCTGCCATGAAGATTTTCGGAAAAAACACGCAGAAAGGTCTCCACTCTGAGAGCCCATTCCTGCGAGTATCGGGGGAAAATCGGAACAACTGCCCAAGTGCATTCCGCGAGCGGGCAGGCCCTCCGTCACGGTATCTCCCCCGAAAGATATCATTATGCAGTGTCTCAGTCTCCTTAGGGCGATCGGGACTTGAGCAGTCTCTTGAGCCGACGTACTTCTATAGAACATACGGCGGAGTCTCAGCGTTTCATTATGTCCGGAATGTGTTGTTCTCCTGGATGTTAGGAGACAAACCGACGAATGTTGGCGGAAATCAAAATGTGCCTCCGACATTATAAGGGAGGTGTCGCGTTTCTCGTCGTGAGGTGCTGCGTTCCACACCTCGAGCATCGGACACATTTTCCAATGCAGAGCTAAGTAAGCCTTCTTCCGTGCGGCTGAGTTATTCAACTAGGTAAGCATTCTCCATATTTCTCTCATCTATGCTCCTATCCCCTATGATCCTGTTCTCTATGTTGTTTTCGTTGTCTTCTTTGTTTTTCTCGCTATTTTTTCCCGTTGTCGGGTGCTTTCTCTTCTTCCGGATCGAAAAAGAAGTTTGTCTCCTTCATCATGAAATGGCCTCTCGTGGCAGAAAGTCCTCCTCAATGGCCGAGCTCGAAAGAAAAGTACGTGAAGGTGAGAACGGGCTCAGAGACTTCGGCGACTGCCGGTGCCATTGCGGAGCTCGTCTACCAAGGAAGGCGCGTGAAATGATCCACACGTACTACCATTCGCTTTCAACCGGGGAACAAACCGTCTTTCTGCGGGGAGCAGTTAAACCCAAAGAAGCCAAAAGAAGAAGTGGTAAGGGTGACAGAAGTCAACGCAGCGTCTTTCAGTACGAGGTTGAAGCCGATGGATTGAGGTACGAGATTCGCCAACGAGCCTTCCTCGCCGTGCTTGATATGAAACGGTCGAAACTTCGAGCCAAAGTTTTGAGCGCCGGAGGACGGCGGGGATTGGTCGAGGATATGAGGGGTAAACATCTCAATCGACCACACCGAAGCTCTCCGGTATTGATTCAGAAGATCGTTGATTGGGTGACCGCTCTGCCCAGTCGGGAGAATCTCGTCCGCTATCGCTATGAAGTGCGAACTTTTTCTGAAGTCCGTGTCCTGTAGTTGAGAGAGAAACAGTTCAACGAAGGGATCGGGATACTTGTGCATCGAGACAGCTCTGAAAAATTTCGACAAAAAATTGAAATTTCCCGAATCCCTCTGGATTCGCGTGTAAATATTCACGGACTGTCGGAGTAACTCAAATCCTTGACCGCAACTCGCTCGTGATGGTACTCGGGGAGATTTCCCCTTTTTGGGGATACTCTTACAATCACTCAATCGTAAGACGTACAATCCCGGGGACTGTAAGTTCTACAGTGCGATCACTGTAAGAGTTTCTATTGGGAATGTTATTCTAAGGGAGGGGATAGTCTTGATGATGATGATTTCTGTAACACAAACAATCGACGCGCAGACGCTCCTCGCCGTTGTCGGCGCGGTTCGACACTCGCTCTCAGCTCTCAGGTACCGCGTGAATGTCGGTTGTTCGCTCCGTGAGTCCGTGTAGCTGTAAGTCTGGATTTCCCTGCTAAAAATCATTGATGACGATGCTCATTCCCTTTGCCCAGTATATATCCTTACTAACAGGGGGAAACGAAGTCATCGAGTTACCGAAATCAGCAACGAGTGTTAGACTTGCGATACGGAGAAGGAATCGCAAGATGAGCAGGGGCCCAAGGAACACCCATTAGAGCTTCAAAGCATTCTGTGACAAAGTAAGTCAATCGTGTTATTTTCGCTGGTTTCCAGCGAGTTGAGTTGAGTGCAAGGGTGATTAGTGCCGAACTCGAGACACGGGAGTGTCGCGCGGTCCTCAATCGAATTCATGTTCCGGATGCACTTGCAGAAAGATCGATTCAAAGAGTTTCTTGATTGTTCCCCCGGACAAATCGGCTCCTAGACCTTCTGGCCCAGGAGTCTCTCTCGAAATAATGAGCATCCGAGTGTGCTCTATGTTGCGTGAATCGCAAGGCTCCGGATGAAGGTTCCGCGAAAACGTGGAACTCTTTCTCGCGCATCGCGCTTGATTGATTCTCGCAAGAGCGTATTGGCCTGGTCTCGAACTCGGAGACCTCGCAACGAAAGCCAGGGACCAGGGAGCGTTCCCTCGCCGGATCCAGGAGCCCTACGCAGCGAGCCGTCGCTCGGAATCTCATGGGCGCCAGTTTCTTCGGCGACTGGGCACTACGTCCACAATACGCCGGACTCGATGAGCGACGTCGACGGCGACGTCGGAACGTCTCCGGTGCCGAGCCCCGATGAAAGGCTCGATGTCCGAGAAGCCTTTCGGGTGGTCGTTCGCTCCAAAGAGGAACTCCTGGACGTGTGATTTCGCTCAGCGATAGGAATCCATAAGGCACGCTAGTCTGAAAGCACACTGGAAGAGTTGAATACTCGATGTTTTCACTAGCAGTCGAAAGTCGTTGACAGCCTTTGGGCGTAGGTCATTTTTACCCCTTCTGCTCCTTTCCTGCTCTCTTTCCGGAAATCATTTATAACGAAACAAAGTCCTGAAAAACTGGAATGGCCTGGAGCGGTGTCAGTGGCGGGAATATTTTTCCACTCGGTTGCCGGCTGTCTGTGGAAACGGAAATAAGAATTCCATTTGGATTCTCGGGATTGTTTCCTCCGCACAGCTGACTTCGGCCGCAGGAGTGGAGGTCGTCTCGATCTGAGCGCGAACTGCAGCGTTGTAAATATCAATTTGTCTTGAAAGTAAACCCGAGGCATCGTCAATCGAGAAGCCCCGCCTGCTCGTGTGAATTCTGTCGCCCAAAACGAACCTCGCGAGTTCTCTGCTGGATATCGGACACGAGCGGGACTAAATCGCGGGAAATTTTTCCGAGAGCTGTAACACCATGGGGGATGAGGAGGAAGCGAGCGGAATGAGCTGACATCGCCGAAGTCTTGAATCTTCATTCAGACTCGGAGCCTCCAATAAAGAGCTCATGCGCTACAGCGGAACATTTCTTCCCGCTAAGAAAAAGCCTGGATCGAAGAGAAGTCCCGCTGCATGAGATCCTTCTTTCTCCGGCAATTCAGGCTCCAAATATCCGGAACCCCATTTCCGTGATGAATTGAGCCTCAAGCTCCTGAGGAATACATTTCAAAATGCGTGGTGCCGTCGTGGTCTATAACTCTACGTACGTGCATCCCAGGGCGATCAGCGCCTTAGTATTCGACCTCTGTACCGCGCTGCGAGCCTCGCACTTCCTGTGGAACTCCTAAGTCGCTTCGAGTGAGCCGCCCGGTTCGGTCTTGCCCTGTGATTTAGGCTTCTGACCGTCATCGGAACGTTTGCTACTGCCGCTTGCTGCGGGTACCGTCGTTTCATCGCTATCCGCCATGTTGTGTATCCTTCAAGCTGCTAAGTTGAGGGAATTCAACCCGGAGTCGGATAGTAGTGTGTGAGTTGATTCACTCAGATGGAAACACTCTGGTTCCGAGGAGATCTGAACTCGTAACCGATAGGACCTGACAAGCCGAAAACTTGCGCCTGACCGTATCGATCTAATCTCTGATGCGAATATCGAATCTGATTCCTAGATTTGATCCTCGAGTTCCAAGCCTTGGAACTTGTTGAGCGAAAATCGTCGGAAACCCCTTCAGGCCGGAAATTTGAGAGCGGGTGTAAAGATGCGAGTCTCGATGGCCTCGCGTAGATTCGTTCGATCGAAAAACACTTCTGACACCAAATGTTACCGCCCCGCCACTTTCAGATGGAAAACGACCTCTATTACGTTTCACTGGGGTGAACACTAGGGGATAACTTTTATTAATAGAAAAACAGAGTTTGACGGAATCGACCGTGAATCGATTCTCAAGCTGTCACTGTCACACTGATTGTCTGCTGGAGAGCGCGTCTGCCGTGTTGATACGGTTTCCCTCGCCGCTCTCTTCTTTCCCTGGAAGCCCGCGGAAGCTCCTCCGAGTATCTTTCGCCTATCCCTGGTTTTCCATACCTATATAATATTTAGACTGCACCGAACCGCCGGCTCGTGACACATATATCGGACGACGGAAACTATTTTCTGGTCATCATTCATGATTTCATAATCTCCCCCCATCCTTGATTGCGCATGATACGAATGTGCACCGTGGAGCAAAATATCCAAGTGAAAACAATTACTTCCCAAGCGCAACCAGCGTTGGCTTTCCAAGAAGATGCTAGTCCAAGTTTTTCGTTATAGTCAATTGTTACCTGATGCTTTCGTATATATAGATGCCATTCAAGAACTTCGGCGGGGGTAGCGAGAGTGTCGCATAAACACGCCGCAAAGCGTACCTCTGGTGACAGTCAGAATCATCACCCAGGCCTCTTATGAGGCGAACGACTTATCGATTCCTTTTGGGGAAGTAAACTTTTTCCCCGTCGTCTCGGACGGAGACTTCGAAAATCTTCAGGCACGGGTCGACCTTATATACGGTACGCATTGGTATTGAATATTCGAGATACCCGAGACTACAGAGAAAGAATCGGCTCCCCGGATCCCCTCCCTAGTTTTCCTTCGAACTCCTCAGATGCATTCATTCGGAGGTATCGACCTGCCCCTGCAGTCTTGAGAGGCGGAGTGCGACAAAACGGCGCGACCAGAACGGCATGGCCAACACGGCGCGACCAGAACGGCGCAGCCCATAACGGCGCGGGCATAACGGTGCGGCCCAAAACGGTGCAGGATTCCGGGCATCGAGTCCGTTTTGGCCGCGCCGTTTTGTCGAAGACCCACGTGTCGCACGTTTTTTCGTCCCCACATGAAGTGCCCGAGGTCATGCGAGGGGTTTCAAAAAGAATCGGTAAGCGAAGTCCGACGCATTGTGGAGTATGTCTTTCCTCTTCTCGATCGCCTTTTTCAATATTGTGTGTGGGATTGCTTGAGAAGCTTTTGGCGGAAATCGCTTGCGAGAACAGAAACGTTGAACAGCACAACCAGGAACTATCCGGAAATCCTCATGGTGAGACAGTAAGCTCGATCGTTTCTTCTCCAGAGGCTAAGATGATGAGTATCCAGGCCGCTTGGGACGCTAACGGTGAGGAACGCCATGACTTTCGGGTCATGGCGTTCCTCATCGTCGAGCCGATCGTGGAATCGGCCTCGACGTCGGGGTCCGATTAATGGAAAGGTATGCAATCATACCGTATTTCTTCTAACAGATGGGCATGCCCTTTCATTTTTCCCCCGGGAAGTGCTCGTTTATTATAAGGTGCCCGTCTGTCGCATGCAATGATTTAGAAGGAGCCTTCGAAGTGGAATTGGTCAGTCTAGTCGACTCACGAAATAGGGAAGCCTCGACTGTGATTCGAAAGGGTGGAAGCGTTCGCCGAGGACTCCCCCCCCAGAACCCTTCCCGATACAACTCATAAAATGTCCCGATTTGCCTCAGGAAATCCCCGGAACTGAAACCCCGATTCGACCACGGCACCGGGAAGCGACCGGCTAACCACCGCGAGAGCCATCGAACCCGAAGACGACACAGAAACCCCTTACACCGATACCACCTGAGAGACGGCGAAGTCGTACTTGGCAAGGAAATAGTACCCCTGAAACCATGCCGTGTTCGCTCGCACAACTACCGATCTGGCCGACCACCACATGGATGCTACCGATCTCGTTTTTGATACCTGTTCACTTTTCTAATCCAGAAACCGTGATATCTACCAAACATATAGATATGTAATGTGATGATCAGGTGCGGACCTCACAACTTTTAAGCCGGCACAACTGCCGATATGAACAATAAACATAGGCACTCTACGCTAAGCCTCACATTTCTCTTTCAACAATGCAACAGATAAGGTAAAAATTCTCCACGGGAAGCGACTTAGGTACAAACTCTCGCCACGCGTCATCCGACCAGTGATTCTAACCGCGACGGCCGTCCACCGTTTTCTTTCTTTAATGACCGCCTGCTCGCCCATAGGATCACAGTCGCTAACTGATCTTCCTCAGTGAACGCTTCCACCTTCTCGTGGAATCACAGTCAAGTCTTCTCACTTCGTGATTCGACCAGACTGACCAATCACCAATTCCATGAGAATGTGAAAGCGTTCACCGAGGCCAATGAGCGACGCTGGTCCCGTAGGCGACTTTTGCTCCGTTTTCTCTTGATTTTTATATCACGTTTAACAAAAGATGGAGAGTATCTACAGGAAGATGGCATGGACTTGACGCAAATGATACGCTCACATCAGGTCCCAAATGGGGGGGTTCGCTCTCGCTTCTCTTTTCAGCAACGCGTCGCTGCTCTCCACAGCGTTGTTCGTGTGAACTGGCGCACGATAAAGAGAAAGCCTTTGATTACGGATGTAATCAATGAGCGGCTGGAGCTGGAAGATCGACCTCAGCGAAGGACTCTCGCGGAGAAAATTTGAATATACAATCTGCGAACTCTCCGTGAGATTCTCCGGCCAATTCGCTCTCGCCGAGAGCACCGCGGAACCGCGGCCCCCAGAGTCCGGCAGATGAGTATGCAGGCGGCCATTCATCCGGAGTGTCTCACCATTTGCCCGGATTTTGCCTCACACGGGGCAGCCCCTGCAGAGGAAGAGAAGATTACTTCGAGGATTAGGAAGAATTTCGCTCCTCTTCGAAAGCTCATCATTCATCATGATGGTCGAATCATGGGAAATTCTCCTTCGTCTACTAGACTGAGCGTCTTCACCGAGCACTCCTCCATGTACACCCGCCGACACTGACGGAGGAGATTTCTCCTTGCGGCCTCATCTCCAGTCGTTGCCTCCTTGACTTCTGATCTATATCCTGAGCGTCACAAAAAGGGAGGAAATTCGATGTCTTCTGCGCATGCCCGCATACACGCATTCCTTAAACTAAAGCCTTCATCCATCAACGAGTCTGGGCAGTCATATCTTGAGCGTCATGTGCAACCCATTTGAATCTATGATGAAGCTGAGCCATGAATCCTTTGCCATTACTCGGGAGCAGTTCCTCTACGATTTCAGTGCAGGATGTTTCCACAATTCGAACATGCTTCATGCAATTACTCACGTCCGCCAATCCTTGCATCTGTTTATTATGTGGCCTTCCGACGTGGCGCTTTCCCTGTGGAAAAGAAGTCGGCTTGACCTATTTGGCCTCCTGCTTCGAAGGAACTACTAGGGTCGCCACCAGATCGTCGTGGGATGGTTGGTCCCGTGCACTAGTCAGAGAAATCCCCCGGAAGGATTCATCTCGAAAAAAACGGATGTGATTGATGTCTGTCCGTATCAAGTATCTGTCAGCTTTCAGCAAACGAGATGACGGCCGATATCCTCACGAAGAGTCAACCAAGCGAGGCATCAAGATTTGCGGGGGAAAATTAGGTATACACTGAGAAAGTCTTCCTCATGCGCATGGGGGCCTGTTGTAGATCGAGTCTGCTGCGCAGGCTCGACTTTTTAGCCTTCTCTGAATAAAAGAGAAAGGCCTTCCCACTCCGGAAGGAGTACTTGTCGTCATCGCCTCGGATCCGAGTAGGATAGACTTAGATTTGGAAGTCATGCACGGATTGATCCATCCGTGACTCTTCCACTCGTATGATTGTGAAGAAAATGGTACTGTGCATATCAAGGCCTTAAGAGAATCCGTGCAGTATAGTAAGACAAAGATCACTCTGTCATCGCATGAATCTTCGTCTTCCGTCAGCTTGTTGCTACTGGAAGAGCTTCAGAAGGTCCCTAGGAAGGAAAAATGGCCTTAGAAAAATCTGGAAACACGCTTGGTCACCGTATTGCTTATCACGTGAATCGTCTCGCATGATGAGGTAATCCCGATCGGTCATCAGGTCGCTGTATCCTGTATCGACAACGATCGACCTAATCGAATGGCGTGAGGTTTTCTCAATGTGAGGATTCGAATAGGCGAGCTGATCTTTGAACAACCGTTTAATCTGATTGAAACACGCATGGTCTTGTGGAGGTCCCCCTGACGAGAACTTTCGCTCCGAAGATTCTCCATCGAAGGACCATGTGTTGAACGACAAAAACTCTTCCCAGGAGTTGCGGACTGTGGGGCAGAGATGTGTCGCGGCGGGGTGAAGCTCGGTCGATGAGCGCGAGAGCTATGAGATTTACGCAAATGACTAATACCTGCCTCCTCATTGGGTCCATCATTGTTCCTAATCGGAAACGGAACTCAGAAGTCGATCCCGAGACCGCGCCTCAGGACGAGTTGAAGCTTTTGTCTTTTTCCTTCTTCTTCTAATTTTGTATTGAAATTGTTGAGTTCTCGTCTCTCCTCTCTCCTCGCTTCCGAACGGCGTTATCCTTCCTCACTCTTAGCCTAATATGAAGCCAGACATCTCGGTCGGGAGTCCATTCCGTTCCTGCTTGCTACAAGCTCACGACGTGTCTTCCGCGATTTCTCCGAGCACCCCAACAGGTCCAAACGAAAATTCGCCGGATCCGTTTTCTTCGAGCACGGAGGCGCGCCTTCCAAGCGAAGTGAAAATGGCTTCCTCTCGTATACACATCGACCAAGCGGACTCCTCTCGGCATCGTGGTAACGACTTCACAATTTGAGTCACCGGACTGTAGCGGCTCAACTTGGCCAGTCGCAGGGAACAGTGCCGCAGCCTACCGGCATGCCACCCAGGGCGATGATTCGGAAGTTTGCCGTTTGCCTAGCGCGGTGGACGAAGATGCCTTTCCCTACATTTTTTTCCTCGTTTGACCATGGATGGTTCCAGGGAGGGGCCGCCTACGGCCGACCGCCCGTACTCGCTTCGGCTCGAGAGACTCGAAATCGTCTCTCGTGGATGAACTCATGTAAGGTTTCAAGGTAAGTGAATAAGGTATTCCTCTCAAGTCACGTACTCAGCGCCGAGGAAGATTGCTGAATTGGTACGGCGCTCGCATCCTCTGAGCCGAGAGGTCTTATCTATTCGGTCGGAAGCGACACGAAGACTCGACGAAATCGCGCCAGAAGTTTCCGGTCTCGATGGTTGCAGTATCGCACCGGGTTGCGTTAACTCCCGGGAGACTCTCAGTCAGTAGAAGGAGACCATGAGCGAAGCGATACGCATCGCTTTAAGAGACGTTTCATCCACATCGGTATGATATATGAGCCAGGCTCATCGATTGTTCCCGATGGATTCAGAGAGCGAAACCTTGTCTTCCATCCCACAAGCGGAGGCGGTCTGTCCAGCTCCGCACTTTTACTTGCTCGGGATAGACGAGTGAGTGTGCGCGACTTCTACTTATCGACTGTGAGGTGCAGCGCTTCGTCAAAGGCCACGTCTCTCGAGATGGAAGCGAAAGAGCTTCACGAGAATCATCGTGCAGTGCGAAGCTCCGATCAGTCGCTTCGGACCGCGGGTCTCGCTCACGCGAGCCTCCCGCACTGAATTCCTCCTCCATGCCTGTGAAGGACTCGAAGTCCGCCGGTTGTCAGGAATAGGAGTTCGTGAAATTCTCCATGAACCCGACCGGGGAGGCTTGCCAACGTTGGCTCTGCGATGCCGTGGAGGAAGAATCCTGAGTTTCACTCTATGATGGAGAAGCTCTCGAATGGAACCAATTTTTCCCATGCATACTCGAAAGCCTTTTCGACATGGGAGTCTAGGGCGCTCCGAACACGTCGACTCTCAAAGAGTCGCACCCTACGATCAGATGAGGTTCTTGTGCCCTTCAAAGACATGGACTACGTGCTCGTCTACGAGAAAGACTTCGAGATTGAGGTAAGATCTCTTCCGAGTTCGATGGAGCGGAACCTCGGTCGGGCGCACCTCCATTCCCTGAGCCGAAGAAGTTGGCTTCCCCATAGGAGGTTGGTCGATTCGGAAAGTATGACTTTAACCGGCTCTCGTGTTGGATTCGAGCGTTGTAGCTTCGCACATTTCGCTTCCGCTAGGTATATCGAAGTTCAGAGCAGCCTGTCGAGGCGATGCGCACTCGTGGCGCATGAAGATCACCACCTCCCGAGATCCCCCTTGTATGATACTCCCCGCCTACCTCCAGGTGAGCCACCGACGACGGAGGCTCAAGCCCGTACAAACCCGCCTATCGTAACTTTTTATCCAATGCTCGTAGCCTTTAATCCGACATCCGACGCTTATCCCTTGAGGCAAAGAATTTCCAAGAGGTACGAGAGAGCCGACTAGCTCGTATGCCTATTCCGTCTAGAACTGCTCGTAGTCGCCGCAAGTATTGAACTGGGTCGGAACTATCTCTGAAACCTCATGACGAGCTTAAAAGCGCCTCCGATTCGTGATCGTCTCGGCTAGCGCTCGCCTGAGCTCACCGGGTAGGTCCGATGCACAAGCTTACATGAACTCTTCCTAAGCGTCTTCCGCGCGCCTCGCAGCTAGGATGAGGTTTCTCCCGCCGACATGATTATATTGAGATTCGCATAAACTGCACCGAGAAAATTATCGCTACGCCTCTGATCCCATGCATTGACGAGTCACTTGCTTGATGTGGATCATCCAGCAGAGGAATCGCACGGTCGTGACGTTGCCTCTACTCGTCGGCTGACGTATCTCCCGAGAGCACTCGGCAATTCACTGCGCAGTGAATTCCCTCTATTTCAATCCATGACTTTCCTGCTCCGCCACGTGAGCGCTTGGAATACTACATATGTATGAATGATAATTATCAGCCGTCCGTCGCGGGATTCTCTCAGCTACGGTATGGATAGGAATGAAAGGTCCATGATACTACCTATCATGGTCGGGCACGTGTTGAAGCTCTTCCTGCGAAGATCAGCTTCCTGACGCAGAATTCCTGCTGTCGACAAGTCACAGGGCTCGGGCATGACTTCACCGAATCCGCTCATCTTCGGCAGCCAAGTATATGGATCACGATCCGAAAATCATCTCTTGACTCCGGATCTGGGACGGAGTACCCGGCTTAGAGCCAAGCTGGCTTCCGTCCGGGCCCAGTATCGTGTCGGTCGATACGGGGGACGCCAATCAATATGTAGATCGAAACACAGAAGCGAGCCAGCTTCTTCCATGGAACAAGATATTGCGAGAGATACACACACATAGACCCATGTGGACAGAATAGAGCAGAACGGCAAGTTTCTAGGATTTTCAGTTCGTCAACGGTGGAAATGTTTCCACGGAACCTGCGGACTCGACTGAGGATTATGAAGTTTCGATGGGATCACACCGAAGATCTGTTTTCGAAGCACCCTTAACGCGGCAGCGAAGGTTTGTTCTTGTCTGATGTCCCCGGCAGAATATTTGGATTCTCTCGGGGATCCTGATAGTATCGTAAACGTTGTTTTCTAGGTATCGACATCTCTTCGAATCGGCGATGCGGCAAGAAGGACTCTCGTTGGAAGAAGAAGTAGTGGGGAATCACGTTTTCATCAAGGTGCACACTCCTTTCGAACGGCTGAGCCAAGAAGCTGAAAATATCCGACTAGACCTCCCGCTAGACGGGGTAAGTAGATTGCTCGCTGTGAGGTACTGAGAGATCAATACTACCAGCTCGGGATGGATCAGCCTCGATCGTGTGAACACCGAGAAACGCAAAAACCAAAAGTTGGAGGATCGGTGATTCTCCCCATGATGTGGAGCTATACCCTCGATCCCTGTCAAACAGAGCGTCCAGATCTGGAGTTTTTCGCAGAATAGCGCGCCCGTCGACGATGAGCAGTGTAGGTGCATCGCTGTTTACCTGTTGTAGTAGCTACGTGAGTCCTGGCTGTTCGTATCGATCGATTCTGAGTTGGCATGGCACTCGTCTCTTGCATCAATGGGCTCTTACGGGAGCATTCCGCTCCCTAGGCACTGCGTCCAGAGATCTACTTTTCCCCCTCGGCTTCAATGAAGATTTTAATCGTTTCGATCCACGAGCTATGCGGGTCACCGGAAGCAAGATACCGGCGTCCTCATCGGGGGAGGAATCCCCGCGAAGACTCCGGACTTAAAAGGAAATCGCGTGCGAAAACGAACGAAGCTGTGGAACGCTCTCAGGAGATTGCGGCGAATACATCTCTTCGACGTGGGAAACCGATTCATCGGGTCGAGTTCGCAGAAAAAGAATCGACTTGAATGCGTTCCGCGAGTCTGGCTGTGAGAAAGCGACGCGCTCTGATGAAGGCGCCAAGCTCCGCTCGACCCAGCTGTTTTAAGTGCGACCGGAGTTGAGATTGCTTACACAGGCTCTAAGCCGAGGCCCTCCGAGCTCGCGATGTGGCGGACGACGTCAGCCTGGCCACGACGTGTTCAGTGGATGATCGCTTATTTTCGCTTATTATTGGAATGTCGCTCCCAGATGTCGAAGGAGGCAGCCGCAAGTGAGCCCAGAATCGCTTATACGGAGTTTTCCATGATTTTGCCGAACTAGATCTCCCCTGCCACGTCCCGTATGGTTCCGTGTAGCCTGGCATCACTCGCTGAAACTCCTCAGAAATCGGATGGATATGGGAAATACAACCAAAGTGTATGCCGTGATCCTTTGTTCCCGCGTCTTTTCCGCGATCGAGGTTGGCTCAGATCAATCAGGGGCTTCACGGCGGTATGCCATCGTCGGCCGAGCTGATTTTGAGGATTTATTCGATCGCAGCTGTCTCTAGATGAAGAACCCGAGGCCGAAGACTCCGATCAGGGCATCGATCCACAGCAGTGGTTCCAGGATAAGATGGCGAAGCTGTTGGATTTAGGACAGAAAAGTATGTCGAAATCAAACATATTCATTTCATTGTAGTCCGTCAAGGGCATGAAGGTACATAGGAGAAATCATATCATTCTTCCACCCTCCGTGACCTGAAGCACGGAACATAAGCGCTCCGTTTCAAACGAAATGCAAGGACTGGTTCGTCGGCCTCCGAGACAAAGATTCGTATTTCAACAGCGCGATGCGAGGATTACTGGTGAGTTATTGCAAGCTGATTCTAGAATGCAAGCAGTGCCGCAAGCTTGCAGATTCCCCCGGGGGATCAAACCTAGGTGATGGTCAGTGGCGTAGCGAGCCGGAGTGCCGCCCGGGGCGGTGATTCGAAATTTTCCGTTTTTCACCGTGCTCGACGAAAATGCCGCTCCCCGCCGGATATTTTTCTCTCTAAAACACTCCGTTTTTTTGGATGCAAAACCCCGAAACGCCGCCCCTAAAAGCTCCGTAGGAAGTGCCGCCCGGGGCGGTCCGCCCCCCGCCTTACTACGCTACTGGTGATGGTGTTGGCTCTCGTGATCAGTGCATAATCTAGGATTATCTATCTAGAATATGAGATACGGAAGTGCATTGCTCGGGTTTCTTGTGTGCGATGCGAGAGTATTTGAGCTCATTGGCTCGGTAATTCCTCCGAATTGTCCGTGCCATTGACACGCCTGGTCAAGGATAATGCGTGCAACCTTGGGGATTGGGAATTGTCGAGCGATCGATTCGTAGTCTCCATAATTGCCCACTGCCCTTAGTCTTTCTCTGTCGCCGTCAGTTTATTGCTCCGGAGACATCGCATTGTTCGGTTCGAGCACACGGCACGGCGCGAACTCCGTGAATTCGCTTCCGTCGTTGTTCCCTCCGGAGCAGGTGATTTGAGAATGATTCGGCATCCAAATGCCCTCGCTCATCAAGGCTTCGTATTACATATTATGACGAGGCAGAAGCTGGCTGGGACGCTTATATCGGTCATAAACGCGATTATGGAGGATCGATCGAAGCCAATACATCAGGCTGCGGTATGAAAGGGGTTCTCGAACTTGAGGGATCTACCGGCTCGTCTTCAAATAAGAATACTTCTCTCACTACAGACATATTATGTCCTGAGCAGCATCGATATATCACTCTTGGAAGAAGCGACTCAATCGAAGGCATTCCACACGAAGAAAGGTTAGTTTCAGGAGAACTGAGCTCAAGTCCCGATGACTCCGCGGTGAGAATAAGTCCGGATCCTTCCCCCCCCTCTAGGCTTGCCGTATCTGCTCATGAGGAGAGTGTACGTGGACGCGTTTATCCTGCATGACACGTCGGTTTTCGAACCCTCCCCGGTTGTGCCCTTCCGACTTTCAGCCTCCTTCAAAAACAAGGAACATGACAGAGAGTGAGCGTGCCGGCGGTTGGATGTATTTTATGAGGTCTCACAATTAATGAGGTGGGCTCGTTATATGAGGCAGGGCCATCGCACTGTCGCCGGGGTCAGAATCGACTCGATTCGCTCGATCGCCATCTTGCAGGATATCAGCATCGTCGCTCTCACAGAGCACGAAAGTCGCTCCTGACACGCGGGTAATTCTCGATAGAGAATGGAGACAACTTCTGAGAGGCCAACCATTGGATGCTATAAGGTAACCTTCTCCCCACGATGGGGGGAATGCCGTCCGGATTCATGATATTCATTCATGGAGCCATCGAGTGGGCGAGTGCCGGTTGAAAGTCAGGTCCTGAGTCTTCAGAATCGATTCGAACTTTCCAGGGACTATCTAGGAGAGAAAATTTCTTTCTATTTTGCATTTGTTGGAACCCTGATAGCTTCGTTGGTTATTCCCGCTGTGATAGGTCTATGCGTTTTCTTCTACGGAGTCGTGCAAAAGTGAGTATTTGGGGCTGCCGCCTTCGCGCGGTACAAATGTGCATGGAACGAAATCGGAGTAGCGGTTTTCCGACCCCACGCACAATCGAACACTTCGAGAGAATCTAGGGCCGCGCTGTTTTCAAGGCAGAGGGCAGCCGTGACATTTTCTGTCGTGAGGCAATACCTCGGATCGATGCGCTCCGCCTCTAGTCTCCATTACAGACCCGGGCGCTTAGGGTCGGAATCGCTCGGACGAATGCTCTGATGAGCGGATTGCTGCCGATATCCACTCAGGGGCGAATCGCCTCTGAAATCTGAACCTCTCCCAGCTCTCCGAGTGTTTTCTGATAATTCTGCAGGGTCCAGGATGACAACAATTTCGATCCGAATCGAACGAATGATACGAGGCAGGCGCGTGCATACAACGCCACGATGAGGTTTGTCAATACACAGGTAGTGATCATGACAATGCGGGTCGGACCCGAATCAAGCGCCCTCCTATGTCTAATTGCAGCTCTTCGGCATTCGTATATTTTGTCGACACAATCAAGGTCGCTGGCGACACTGAGCTCACACCTTTCTGGGCGTTCAGCATTTGTTTATGGAGTAAGATCCGAGCTCCCGCCTCATTCCTCACACCAGATAGTCAGTTCAGATCGTCGAAGTGTATCCGTTCTCGGGTTAACGGCTTGAGGTGCGAAATTCTAATGCTTCGAATGAATCAAGGTACAATCTTCCTGGAGATTTGGAAAAGACGCCAGGCGCTTCTTGCGCTCCGTTGGAATGTGGATCACTTCTCCTTCGAGGAACCTGACAGACCTCAATTCTATGGGACGATGTCCGAAACTGATCCCTTGACTGGAGAGGTCCATTGGCATTATCCGCTGCGACAGCGAGCCTTCAAATATGTGGTCTCATTCGCTTTTTTCACTCTCATGGTGAGTCACTTCGGGTGGTCACAGAAGGGATCCGGTAGTATGATACTCACAAGGGATGCGCCCTCACTTGTTTCTAATCCGAAATACAAGGACGGACATGATATGATGGACGGGCACAAGCAGGATACATGATTGCCATCACACACTCGATAAAAGTCGCGGAGTCTGCAGCAGTTATTGTTATGGAACTAATCAGCTCATATACATATATCCGGAGGGCATCGGTGATTGAGGCTCAATTTTCCTCCAGACGTGCGTGGTCATCGCATCCGTACTGGCCGTCACGCTCTATCAAGTCTACATGGCGAACGTATACTGTGGCGGAGCGAATAAAACTGAAAATCCCCTAGCCTTCAACGCCAATTGCGAGGCGCTTCACTCGTCCGTCATCGGACCAAGCCTGAACACAGTTTCCATAGTCGTCCTCGGTAAAATCTACGCTTACGTGGCCGAAAGGCTCACCGATTGGGGTGAGTAGGCTTCACGGTTGGAGCTGAGGCCTCCGAACAATTTCCGATCGGAGAATCCTCCGTCTGATAAGAATGAATCCCCGAGACCGAATTGATCAATTGAGTTTATTTTTAAATCTGAAATCAATTCCAGAGAACCATCGAACTCAGAGTCAATACAACGACGCATTGATCATAAAGCTATTCGCCTTCCAATTCACGAATGCTTACGCGTCCCTGTTCTATACGGCATTTTTCCGCGACGAACAACAAGAAATCAAAGGGGTATTTTACCGATCGATGAGACGCCCACCTGACGACTGCTTACCGCGAATGGAGCGATCGGTGACCGCAGCTTTCATTCGTTACAGAATGGTTCCTTATTCGGTCTGGGGGATGCTTTCAAAGATTCTTGCGGAACAGACAAAGACACCTGTATGTCACTGCTTTCGCTACAACTCTTAGTGCTCATGATCGCGAAACCAATGCCAAAGTTTTTCTACGATATGGTCTGGCCGTGAGTGGATGAAATACTAGAGGCGAGAGCTTTTCCGTAGGAGAGCTGGGAATCGAGGCGCGCTTCATGGACTCGACGGGAACCTAAGAGAGGAAGATCCAGTCCCGCTCGCAGTCCGATTGGCCCTCTTCTAGTGTTGGACGGCATTCCTCCTGCGCTCATTCCGTCGTCGGAAGGAAAGAGCTGTGAGACGCTCATCTACGAAAGTTCATACTAGTTCCGGCTCATCGTTGAATTTCAGTTTTTTAAAACAAATCTTCCGAGGACACGGACTCATGAAAAAAGTGATGGATGTGGAGAATAGCGAAATAGACCAACATTATCTGGTTAAGGAACTCTACAAGCAGGAAGATGCCGAATTCAGGCGAGACGAATTTGCTGAGAAAATCATCCAGTATGGTTACCTAGTTGTAAGTATAATCGAAGTCTTCAAATTTATCGGAGCCTGTCGAGGCATTGAGTGACGAAGTCTCTCCCGGCTAATTCTATTCCTATTCTTCCTCGCCGTATACCATGATCTCATCGGCGTCGACACATCGAATCACGATCCGATCGTGAACGCGATGTTGAAGCTCTTCGATATTTCAGCTTTTCGCTTGCTCCTTCCCGCTAGCACCGTTACTCTCTCTTGGGTACAACGTTTTCGATCTGAGAATAGACTCGAATCGACTCTTATGGATCAATCGCCGACCGATCCCATTCAGAGATGATGACATCGGTAGAGTTACTCCGACGATCCTGACTTTTTAAAAATTCATACCAAGCATCGAGCTCAACATGAAGTGGGCCTCACACCTTCGATCCGGAACTCCCTTGAACGAAGGACTAATCCGTATGATGGTTCTAGGCATGTGGCTGCATTTATTCAATTTCATTAATTACTTCGGAGTCGTGACGAACGCTTTCTTGATCGCCTTCACGTCGAAGTTCGGTTCCTTGTACCTCCGATCGAGGATATCAAAATTCATGTTCATCGTTGCTTTCGAAGTGAGTACAGTGGACGATAACGTTGCGCGTAGTCGGTTCGATCCGCCTCCGTCGTCACAATCACACATCGTTTTTGTTTCCTCAATTCCAGCATCTGGTGTTCGTCGTGAAATATTTGTTGACCTTGCTGATCCCCGACGTTCCCGAAGCTGTCAAAGGAGCCAAGGCCAGGGTAGGTGTGAAGCTCCCAACTCGGAGGGCTTCGGACGATTTGATCGCGAGATACTGAACTATTCGATTCCCAAAAGGAACGCCAGCTACTGACCTACATGATGAGTAGAGTAGCCAGCCTCACTGCCGAGAGAAGACCGCCTACGAACGCATCCCAAAACAGTCGGGAGCGGATTAGCGGAGCATCGCGGAATTCGGTTACGCAGATGGACATTCAGGCAGTTCAAGCTGCTGCCCACAAAAGAGCGCTCGGCGCAGCCAACAACAACAACAACAACTGTTCCCAGAAGAACATTCAAAATCCATCGAGCAAAGATCTCCGTAAACTCACTCCCATACCAAACAATTGACTTTCCGAGACGGAGGCCGTCATCGAAAAACGCCAGTCGAACGAAGCTAGAGGATCGGACCCGACTCCCCGATCCTTCCGAGGTCCCTGGAGAGTGAGTCAATTCGATTGTTATCCGTGCCCCGCGAGCGCATCCCTGTGAGTTCTTCATCTTGAAGATCCAACACCCTGTCAGTTCTCCATCATGAAGATTTAAGTCATAGTCAGCTCTTCACTTCGGAGATTTAAAGGTTATAAACTATTATAAAGAATCTGTGATTCGATTCAGCTCGGGCTGACGGAAGGGTAGAGATGCACCTCTGACATCTTCGCCTGGCGCCATGGATCATTCCTGTAGGACCGAGGAGTGAGTTCGGGAAGCTGCTTGAGTATGCAACGAGAGCGATCGATGGGCTGGTATTTTCTGCATTCACGGTAGTGACGTTCCGATTCGTCCGAAGGCATTGCGTCGAATGCGTCATAGCCGTTCCTGGCTCGTCAAGCGTGTCTTCTTGTATGACGTGAGTCTTCGAAAACCAATTAAACAACTCACGAGAGACAGCACCGAATCCTGGTTTACTACATCCATTGACTGAGGCTCAATGTTTCGTTTGGTCCCTCAGGAACGATCGGAGGAGTCGACCGGGATCTGCAGCGGTTCCCCGAGTGAGGAAGAGAGACCTTCCAATTACACATCACTCAATAAAGCCTCTGTGAATATCTCAATTGGTCCTAGATTATGGAGAGTGAATGAAGCTCAGGGACATTAAAATATATGTATAAGGATTCATCGGCCCGATAGAGATGTGCGTGATTTTGTTTGGATTCTAGACAGACCACGATTGTCCGGAGAACATGTTCCTTGAAATTCCTTGTTCCCCGTTTTTGCTTTTTGAATTCCCTGTGCGCGGAGCAGTAACCGAGTTTTCGCGGTGGGAGTATAATACTTTCAGCTTGGGGATTTCGAGGGGGCTGAGAGCGAGCTTGCAGAGGAACAGGAGTAGGGAGAGGTGGTCAAGGCAGCCGGACGCTTCCGAAACATCTCGATGGAGACACAGGAAAACCTGAGCGGCGAGCTTGCTGCCGCCCGCTGTCGTACTGGAGCTATTCGCTTTCCGCACGCACGTTGCGTACTCGGGGCCCCGCTCACTACGTGTACCACCCTACGATACTATGTGATTCCCCGGTAAAGCAATCTCAGGCTTCAGATCGTAATCTGCGCCCTACGATTCCATTCTGTCGTCACCTCTTTTGGTGCAGGGGTTTCAGGCTTGAGTGTTGGGTGGAACACAATTGTAGTGCGTGAGTTCCGCGGGAATGGTCGCTCGTATCAGCGAAATATGCTCTCCGAGGAGAAGAATCAGGAGGAGCAAGAAAAATACATGTTTAGCGGTTCCCGGGACAGAAATTCTCCAAATTGCCTCAGACCCTTTTTGAACTGTATTTCGGGGGCGTGAAGAGCGGCACTCCGGCACCGAGTTTGTGGGAAGATGCTCAAGGGTCCCAAGAAGAAACCTCGCGGGCCTCAAGAAAAGACCTTGCGGGCGAGATATTTTCATCCCTGTCTTAGCGCTGTCTGCTCGGCGGAACGATTATACTATGATGTGTCGTGTTATCACCTCAGCCTCGCTCCGCCACCTCGGCGCCGACCAAGCACGCCGCGCTTCGAATGGGGCAGGATCTTTCACGGAGGAACAAGACCTACGAGAAGCTGAACCAGAAGTACAAGAAGTTTGTCACCGAGTACGAGACGAACGAGATAAGCCGCAGGGATTCGTCTAGCCGAGGGATTCAACATTTATCGGTCGTAGTGGTTCCATAATAGTGGATGCAGTGTGACACTTTCGATGACGTCTAGTAATTGGACGGGCATACGGGGAACGGGCACATGGAAAACGGGCATATGGGGAACGGGCATGCGGGAGACGGGCATCCGGTACCCAACCCGCGAGCCGAAAGCCACGGAGCTCCTGGCTGATTCGAGCGTGAAATGCCACCACAAACATCGCTGCCTAACGGAGAAGAGAGCTTGTCGAGGACGGATTTGAATTCTATTACGACTTATGACGCAGCCGAACTCGACATCAATGCAGAGATCAAAGATTTGCTCATCTCGAAGCTCCTCTCCAGAGCTCGAAGCGGCCGAGCATGCCTCCCTCCCCCCTTTGGTGGAGCGACGGAATCAGGGTATCAACATTTATCGGTCGGAACCTCGCTGCCTCCCCTTTATCAAGCACCTAGCCACGTCCCAAGACACCCGAGGGCTCGATGGATACTACAGACGAGGCGACCGCGTTCCGAGCTACTCTCGACGTTGACTCTCCCGGAAGCGCCGGAAAGAGAGCATGTTCAGCTCCTAGCCCGAGGGATTTCCCGCATCAAGATGCTCCTGCTTCGCCCGAGTCAGACCGTGTTCTTGGAGGAAGTTGGACTCGAATATCTCTGAACTCGTTCCTTCTTAGGGCCCGATGCACCTCTATTCTCGAGTCACGGAGCTTTTTTGCCTGAGCTACCATTGCTGCGCCTGATGGAGTGAGCCGCCTCAAAAGCAAGTCGAAGCCTCATATGGAAGAACAGCCCAAAAGATACGGCAGCCATGCGTGGGATTCGTGTATCGAGATTTGTATTCCTGAATTGCTGTCAGCGATCCGGGGGGGCGAAATATTGACCGTTCGGCGGAGGTCGAGCAACGCCAGCGCGGGGTATCGACAATGCTCTGAATGCTCAGAATTATTCATCCACGGAGGAAACGAGGGGCTTGTTGGCGATGGCCGCGAGTAAAACGGACAGACGTGTTCCATTCAGAGGACATAAAAGCTTCGCCGTCGCATTGGATCCCGTCGAGAATCCCCTCCGCGGCTTCTCTCATTGTCCGTATCCCAGCGCTGCAAGAGCCGGCCCTCATGCGGGACTAATTATTTAGCCATAGACGTCGGGACACCGAGCCCGATGTCGACAATAATTTGAAAATCTTGCGAATCCATTGGGCGACGCCAAAGAATCAAATAACGGCACGAGTCACTCACCGGTTACGGCTTGGTCCAGGGACAATTAGGCTACAGTTCTGTGACTGAGCTCGCCGAAGTGCTTCTGGAGGAACTCCGTGCTGCCGACTTGGCCGGTTCAACGGCTCAACGTGTACTCGACGACATCCGAGTAAAGAGGCGGTCGACGACGGATATGAGACGATTGCAGCAGCTCCTCGGAATCCCTTGTTCCTCTAATCAACGTAAGATACGTACGCGGAAACAGTCGCAGCGACGCCGGCGGCGATGCGGGAATAACGAAAGCAGGAGCAAATGGCTAGAAGATCGAGCGAGCAACGCGCGGCTCGGATCGTCTGGTATAATGAAGTGCAACAGCACCAGCAAATCTCGATTCAGCTTTCGGATCGGGGCTATTACCGTCGTGCTTGATTTGAACGCATCGCACTGCAAATAGCCGAATGGCTAGAGTGAATCTCCCGGCGGCAGCAAGCTATCCGGAGCTAGCTGGCTGTGTTTGCCAACGTTGGCAAGGTCCTCCTCGTTTATCGCGAAGAAAGTCTTCGTTTTCAAGCGAGCAGCTGTTACCCACCTCAGCTGAGCAATTTCGTCGCCGTCGTCTCGTCGCTGCGGCATTCTCCTCCTCCTCCTCCTCCTCCTGGGCTAGATGCCTAACACCTGCCGACCATAACACGGACGAACGGACCTCTATACGGTCGCTGTTATTGTGGTGCCAAAATGCCTTTCAGGACTGTGTCGCCCGTTTTCTTCAGTGGACGGCGGCAACGACGACAATTGCGACCGACCCCGTATCGTGGCGCGGAGAGCCACAGACGCACGTAAAAACACATGAACAGAGGGTCGGCGAACATTGTTTGCGCGATGCTTCCCCACTGACAGCCGAGTGAGCCGCGATAAGCGCTTGCAAACGGAATCTTGCTTGCGGCCGATAGCGGAACGGCTGTTGGTTTTTTGCGCACTCATCAACGAATAGACAAATTACGCAGCGGGAGAGTATCGGAACGACATCTCGTTCGGGATCCGCACTCAGAGCTCGGAGGAGACAAAAAAAAGTGGGAGAGTCGCGGAAGCGAGGCCGTAGAATTCACTGCGCGGTGAGTCTGGAGGGACCGACTGATCGTTATTCGACTCCGTTCAAGCGGAGAATCGATGACTGCTGGCAGGGGAAAAAAACTCCTTGGGAAATATTCCAGGTAGGAAATCAGCGGGGAACTCGATCCGGGTCGCCTTGAACTTCGAAGACTGACGACTCATCCAAAGAAAAATATAGAACGATCGAACGTGATGCTCGAGACGTTTTTCTCGAGACGCTGGAAATCGAGACGACCGAATGGAGGGCATAGGACGTAGTCAAATCCACGCGAGCTCCCGCTACAATCGAGGTTGCTCCCTCCCCGCCGACGAGGAAGCAAATATAGCATTCGAAAGGCCATTCAGAGTAAGTTTCGCTTGGCTCGCGACTGATGGAATCAAAACACGAAGGCCTTGTAGCTCGTTCTGACTTTTCCCCGAGCAAATCGTAACGGAACATCGCAGCCAGATCAACGTAGCGAGAAACGTGTTTCATAAGGCGCAGACGATTTTCTCATAATACTTGCATTTCGGCTGCGTCCTTGTACCCGGGGCCGATGTTGTAGGAGAGGTTGAGGCGGCCTTGCCATCTGATGGGGGCCGAAGGTCCGCCGATACCCCTGAAAGAAAGAGGTTGATGACAGAGCTGATTGGATCGATCTTCCTGAGGCAAGGAGTTCCTCCCCTCTCCGGGACCTTTCCGGGTAGCGAAGCGGCCGGGATAAAATCCGGATCTTCTACTGGAAACGCCGGAAAAACGACGATAGACGTCCGACGCTCCAGACCACCGCACCGAAGAAGAGATCCGTGCTCTCAGCCAAACTCGCTCAACAGAAAATCAACGACGCGTAGCTTTCAAAAGGCCACCGCAGCCCATTTCGGCGTAGCTACCACTTTGTGGTGAGAGTTGTTTCGCTGAAAGAGACGACTGGCATTTTGTTTGACGCACTCAGGTCCCTCCCATTTTGCCTTCTCCAACGACCCCAATCCCTCGCCCCCGTCGCTCAGCCCCCTCCCCTCTCCCCCTATCATACCTCTCTGCGAGCACAGACGTCAAGAGCACAGCGGCCTCTGAGGGCTACTGTCGAGCCTATGAGCATTCAGAGGAAAATGTGGAAAAAAAATAAAGCTGGATATTATTTATGACTCTCTGTAGCAGGTGTTGCGCATCCTCGGCGCTTATGGGCTGCACTGGAATTCCAGGCAGCTGGACATCACTCCTTGGCATTCTGTAGATGTCGTCGGTCGCCGGAAGAAAAGGTGTCACCGGGTCTCCTGGGAAGGACTTGATGTTGCCGCGTTCGACGGCGTCGCTTGGAACAGCTGGACCGCTCGGGACCTCGGTGTCGAGGGATTCCGTGTCGAACGGATCCGCGTAGATCAAAACACCTGCAGTTTGATGTATTAGATAGTTGGCCTCGCCTCGTCGCATCGGCATCGAATGCAGCGTTGAGCAAGTATTCGCTCCTGACAGCGGAGCTCGGGCTATCTAGTAGAGCGAGTACAGGTGTTGTACGGTGCAAGGGTCATAACCCCGGCCCCGAGGACTTTTACGACTGGAACGAGCCCGAACGACCGGCAATACTAACCCTGGATGCCGTTTTCTTCCGCTCGCTTAATTTTCGCTAATGTCTGCCCTTTGCCGTAGCGCATGATAGCAATGGTTCCGTTGAGCGTGACTCCTCGGCTTTTCAGTACATCGAAGTCTTCGGACTGTCCGAAATTTACATACACTGGCTTGCCTCGAACTTTTCCCGGTGATGAATAGGCCATGTACGGATGCGTCTCTGAGGAAGGAAGAGAGAGGGCGAATGATGGAAGGAGAATAATGCTGCCAGTGAAGCGTCCCTGCGCTCGAACTATTTGAATTCCAAATATGGCTCATGCCGCCGGAAACTCGTTGAGCGAGAGTAAATCCAGTTTGCGGCAATGTGCGGCTTCAGGCTAGCGGGAGACTGTGGAGCTTTAATTTTTTGCCGCCATCATTCGCTCTGAAACGGCACGCTTCTAGCTTCTTCAGCTTCTCGTTGTTCACGGGAGGAAGAGGTTTTCCCAACAACGAGCGAGGAGGAAGTGGAGCGTTTTTGTCGAAAAACTGCTTCAATTCTACTTCCGAGTCTCTGCTACTCGAGAGGCGGGGAGACCCCACAGAGCGAGGCTTTTCGGGGTTTAGGGATTTTTTTTCACGAGGTTTTTCCTACCCGTACTCGTCGATCGCATCGCGGACGACAGGCACGCACGCGCGCCTGCCCGCCCGTAGGCCGGTGAACCAAGGCAGACTATAGCTCCGAGGACTTTTCTGACCGTTTTCGACTGACGTGATTCCCTCTGCCGCCGAGATGGACTTACCGAGCTGGCTCTCGAGGTGCGAGGCCTTCAGTTGGTAGATAACGCGTGATCCTTTCGTCAATCTCACATCGTTGGCTCTCTCCATATCGGGATACGACAGTAGAGGTCTAAAGATTTCGACCCGCACATTTTTCATCTCGTGACTCGTCCAAGTGGCTTTTATTTTCTGAGCGAGTTTTGCGCCTTTATCCGATCCGCCTACGTGGAAATCACGAGTTGTCTGCCTGAAAAAATTGTATCGAAATTTAAGTATCACGATCTTGGATGATTTGGCGACGACGACGACGGCGGCGAAGAATCCTCAGGGACCACAAGTGAGGACGGACTCGAACGTCACAGCACCGACCGATAAGTGATTAGAGAAGTCGCGTTTGGGAATCAGAAGGCGACTCCTCCGAGAGAGAATACGGCAGAGGTGATTGCTATCTGCGAATCATCAAGAAGCACATGCGTCAGCATGACGTCCCTTGTTGCCCTGTCCCTTGTCGCTTTCCCTTCACCGATTTTTTTTATTCAGTCGAGCAATCAACCGTCAAGTCTGCCTGTGATTCCGCCATTCGTCCGTCAGGCAGAGAGTCTGTTCGCCGGCCCGTCGGTCTGTCCGCCTCCCCCTCCTCCACCCGTCCTTCCCCCCTCTGGCCGTGCCCTCGTCCGTCGGCCGGCCGACCCAAGAAGGAGACAACAAGAAACAGGCAGGTCGAGCAAGTCATTTCCTTCTCCCTGCCTGGTATGACTTTTCCAATACCCCAATCCTCCGTCCGCTGATCAGGAGATACTTAAAGGGTTTTGGAGTCGACCCGCAGGCACACAACGGAATTATTTTCTGCTATTTGCGGAGCCGCCCACCGAGTGAGCAAGCATTCGAGTGAGCGCGGTCGGGCGGGCGGTCGACCACCAAACTAACACAGCCAATGTGTTTTGTCTTGGATGAGTTATTGGAATTATTGATTTCACCGACCGAGAGACCCGTGGGAAAGCCGCAAGAGACCCCAAGAATGAAGATCTGGCCGCTGACCGCTCACCCTCTTGATGCTGGAGCTACCGAGCCCTCGTATAATTCTAATCACGTCCTCTGCTGAGAGACAACGGGCGCTCAATACACTCACCACAACCAGCTTTCGATGTTCTCTCGGCTCACTGAATCGATGAGTTTCTTCAAAATTTTATCACTCATCTGATAGGGCTCGCGAGGCAGCAGGTCACAGTGGCTCTGATGGAGTGTTACGTTCCTCTGGATTGGTCGTCGAGCCGACGAGCCGAGCACAAGGCCGATACAGAAGACGCAGGCCAATGACAGCACCTGTAATGAAATCACTCGCGTGAGTCCTGAGTATTTTTTTCCAAGCGTCTTATTTTGTTTCTTTCCTCTTCCAAAGGCAGCAGCAGCTCCTCGACCCGACAGGAGGTCTAAGCTCCGATTCATCCGAGTTTAATTAAGTTTTTCTATTCATCCGGACATTTTCTTTCCCTTCATCGCGGGGAGCCTCTTGAGGAAGACAAGACAAGGAGAATACACTCTTCGCCGGAGTTGCTTGCCTTCGCTGCTCGAAGGGCTGGCTGGAACAGCGGACGTCCCGCTGAACTGCGCACGCTGATACCGAATCGATGGAGTATCGCTCCTCGAGCAAGCCATCCCTGATTAAGATGACGCCGGAAGAAATGTGGATGACGGATTAATTGATTCGACTGATATGATTGAAGGTCCGCATCCCTCATGATGCTGACGATGCATCGTCCGTCGCTTCCTAATGAGGGCGACGTGCTGCTCGCATGGGTCGCGACTCACGCGAGAGGCTCACTTGACCTTTCTCTCTGCTCTCAGCATTCTCGAATCCGTGATCCCTTAAAACGCGAGCTAAGACGTCTGCGAATATGGTGGCTGATTTTTTTTATGATGACTACTACTAAGGGGGAATAAAGTCCGATTGGATTTCTGCTCATCTCCCACGAGCCACGAGTCGAGCTAGTATTAGGGGCAAGGACGGACCGCTCGGAAACGTGGCGGAAAGAACGGAAATCCTGCTTTCATGAGAGTGTTTTCGAATGACTACGCGCCAGACTCGAAATGCGCTATAAGTGAATCTTTGTTTCACTCTCTCGCGGTCTCGTTAGGTCTCGTCGATGTCGAAAGGCTCCCTTCGGGGAGAAAAAACACTGCATCGACTCGGCTAAAGTGAAGAGTGTTGCCAGGGACGAGGTGTGAGCATCCAACTAGTCGGCGGTGCCGCCAATCCATTTTCCAAAAATGCTAATTGGTAAGCGAGCGTTGCACGGGAGCCGGCGGTAGCGGCTACGGGGGCGACGACTACACACACACACATCGCACAAACCGCCCAGGGACGACAGGAGGCAGCGCTCTCGCGACACGGAACGGCTTTACGGCGGCTTACACGGGTAACGGCCCAACATTAAATAACTCGACAAGTAGTTGCTAAATTCGCCCTGGGAGTCGATCCTGGCAACACGGGAGGGAGCACGTCTACTCCAGCTCTACGCCTTTCGTTCGTTTGTGTGTGTTTGCGCTTGTGTGGGCGTTCGAAAATGTCTAAGCGACTCTTTTCCTTGCGCCTCTGTCACACGGGCAGCGCTTTTCCGTAGCCTAGTCCGTATCGGAGCCGCCACCACCACCGCAGAGCAATCTGATCGGCCATAGTTCAGCGCTGCGGTAGAGCAGCAGATCATAAAATGTACGCACTCGCGTCGAGAGGCCCGATCGAGGTGAATGTATAGCGGAGGAACAACGGGGGAATAGCTCGTCCCGCGCGTGGACGGCGAGCGGTTGGATGCCTGGTCGGCCGTACGATCATTAGATCTGGGCTCGAGTTGAGGCCGCCGAATAAAAGAATAAAATCGAGCCATGAGCAAAATCAGGCCAGCTAACCTCATACATATTTTGGGGTTTTTGTGGACAGTCCTTCATTGACGGCGACTGCGACCAACTCGGACGAAGGCTTCGTCATTGCGAGACGGCAATGACGTGAGCACGCACGAACGCTTCGGATAACTTTTGTCTTGCATCATTATCCACATTGAAAGTACGTCCTCTGAGCCGGGGCTCAGCTCTGGTCGGCTCACGGCCATCCACGAGCAGTCTCCTCTCTCGGCAGACTGCGCCATTTTATGGACGGGCTTCTCTGGCAACGGAAGATAATTTCGTTCTGGTATGGAGGCTAAGCACACAAGGAAAAATAATAGCGGATGACCTCGAATTCGGAGAGTACTCCGTCAAATTCACTACAAACATATCTTTTCCCCTTTCTCTGTCCCTCACAGGTCAGAGGGGAACACATGAAGCCGAGGTTATCGAAGTCGTTCATGCTCCCGTACTCACAGTGCGGTCAGGAGTGAATCCTCGCATGCGCTTGGAGCGGCGGGCGGCCGGCCGGCCAAACGAGCCTTACGACCGGAGGCCGTAGCGATGCTGTGCGCAACAACCCCATTATTCTGTTTCTTCGAGCCGCTTAGACTCACATTTAATATTTTTCAACATCTCGTGAAACTCTGACTGAGCTCGCAGATCTCCACATTTATTGTACGATTATAGAGCCGGGCTGGAGAGTTTCTCTCGTATTTTCCTCTCCCAAGACATCCACACGCGGCTCCTATCGAGCAGCGAGTCGAAATAAAATTGGCGGAGATTCGGCCTGCTGCGTAGTAATCATGATTCCTCTATCGAGAATGCGGCTGGAATGCTGGAATACAAAGGCCCGGTCCGAGAGGATCGCTCCTTCGACTCGTATAAAGCGAGAACTCTGACAAGCAGGCCGGGTGAAATCCCCCTCAAGTTACAACTCTGTTGAGCGCTGAACTGGGTTCCCGGCAGTATATCCTCCTCTGTGGGGATATCTTGACGTTTTCCCTCCCTCTGCTCGCTATCGACTGTCAGTGGAATTTCGAGAGCCTATCTCTGTTCGGAAGAGCTCGGCACCGGCGAGTGGATCAGCTCCCATGACCTTAGTGGACAAATCCGGCCGGGATCCCATTGGAGAGCGAGCACACCCGGATGCTTCCGTTAGCATACATACATACATACATACATACATACATACATACAGATATACGTCATGCACGGATCCACAGAGAGCTTTCACTCTTCCGTTTCCCGGGAGGGGGAATTCCCTCGAAGCGATTCCGCTTTTTATATTCTCGAGTTCTGAGCTGCGTACGCTTCTTATTTCACGTAGGACTCTTCCACGTCGAGTCGTCTTCGCAGTGCCTCTGGACAAGTAAGCAGGTCCGCAGAGCGCTTCGGCGGGGGAGACAATCCTGGCTTTCGGGATACTTGAGTGGAGTTCGGCAGTGCCATAAACTTCGATGCACGTTGCTCTCCGCAGCAGTTGTTGCAGAAAACTAAACACACAACAGTCGTCGTCGCAGTATCAGCAACGACAGCGTCAACGGCAGCAACAAGGATCTGTAGCTGCGAACGTCAGGCGAACGGACCGGAGAAGCGAGCCTTGGCACGACGGGCGGTGTTCCGGCAGGTACGTAACGGATCTGAGCCCGCGCTGCCCCTCTCCCGATACCTACCTCCGAAGCTAGAGCCGACTGGCTGGATACCATAGCGAGGGCCGGCTCGGAGCGATTTCTCATCCGCGAGGCAAAACATAGTACACGACGTCGACGACAGTTCGAGAAAACCTGGTCGGAAACTGGCCGATTCAGCAAGCGCCGCCGCAGCTCAACGGATCGAACTCCTCGGGCGTCGGGCAGCGGCTCGGACCCGCGACTCAGGATGAAGGGAAACCACCGACGCACGGGGAAAACCAGCGTGGCTTGAAGCTCGCCAGCGAACAAAACACCCGGGACGGACAGAAAACACCCTCGGAACACACTGGACTAGCTTTTGCTCTTTACGATCTACGGCACCCCTGAGAATACTGTCGTCAGTAAAGCGGCGCGGCGGCCGGTGGCGGCGTTTGCGCCGGCAGCAGCAGCAGCAGCAGTGGCGGCGGATGAGTAAACGAACAGCGCACCTCTTAATGCACTCCATCATTTCTACATTCTGCCGTCCGAAACATAACGACTGGTCATTGTTGTTCCTGACACGGACATTTCAACACAAGTGGCAAGGCGACCATACGGTCGTCAGGCCGGTCTTTCCGTCTAGGGATCAGCTAGCACCGACGAATCGCTCGTCGACAGATATCTCATCGCCCGCGGAACTTGTCGCCGAGGCGTATGGATAGCTCCTTGTAAGTCAACTGGACGTTGTCAGGGACGGCAGAAGGGAATGCTGATGGGGTTTGGAGTCCGCCGCGAAGCGGGCTTATACCTACTTGCGTGGAATCGTAGGCAAAGCGATGTCTCACTCGAGTTCAAGGCGGTTATGCTCACACGATACGGGAGGTTGAGTGACGGGTGAAGAGATTTTGGTTTTGAATATCTGATGAAGAGATTTGTGGACCGTTGCAGAGATTATTTTTGGGACGGAGCGAGTTCAAGATTCTAGATGCCCCGGGGCAATTCTGAGATTTTTGTCGGTAACGACCCCGAGATTATTCCTCGGCTTGTTCATGACGTCGGACGGGAGGTAATCTCACGGATTCATACCCCAGGAGAGGTCATCGGGCGTACACGAATTTCACGCGGCTGAGCGGGTCTCGCCGAATCACGTATATTCCGTTCGAACGAATGGACTTCGGGGTCGGGGAGGATATACGGATGATACTACTCGTGAATGCGACTTAGTATAGCCCGAGAATGAGCTCCCCGTCAGTTTAGCTGGTGATGTCGCAAGGGCACAAGGAACGTCGCTTAGTCGGAGAGAGAGAGCGGACAGACTTCCGCGGCACTCATGCAAACTTCAGAATACTTGTTCATCGGACAACAGATAAAAAAAATGAGGGAAAAAACTTTCCGCTCAGTTGACGCTCGTGTGGTTGCCGGCGGGACGAAATCCTCGCGCCCTGTTGGAGGGTGCGCTCCGTTGTCGCCGAAGCGAGCTCAGTGAGCAAATAGAATGGAATCGAAACTCAAACACAAAGTCCACAACAGCTCCGTGGAGAAGCAGGGAGCCTCGCTCGAGGAGCACTCAGTCAGTCGTCTGAGATCCCACCACGACATCGTCATTTCCCGGATTTCCCCCGGAAGAAATGAACTACCATAAAATATAGAACATTCTCACTTCTGGTCGAACTGGGCTTGAATTAGATTGAGACCTCGTCCGACCGAAAAAAAACCGAGATCACGGTGTTCCGTCACGTGCCCATGATTTTGAGACTGTCTTGCCTCCCCACAGTCGACAGCACCATGCGAGAACAGACCTCTCGGTGCTCACGGTATCGGAAAGGACACCAT